GCAAATTTTGGGGAGCTATACTGTATATTTACAACCAAGTAAATTTTGATTAATTATGGTAGTTGTAGCATTGAATGAAGATCCTACACAATTGAAATATAGATGACACTAAGTCATACTTTTGCCCATTGTTTTTAAGCATTCTAAAATATAAAATTTTACCAGATCTCCCTTAATATTTTAAATGGTCTAATTTGAGTATCAGGAAACTTTATATTGGAGCTTATTTTTGGGAAATTTTATTTTTTTAAAGGTAAAATAAATTGGTGATTAATTTTTAGTTTCTTTTAAAGTATTTATATATATATCATCAAGAATTTATCCTCTTATTTAAAAATGTTTACTAACAGTGTAATATTATCCTCTAAGTTTTTAAAAATCTTTTAGTAATTTTGATAAAATTTACATAGAGTTAAATTCACAGATTTTTTTTTTTTTTTTTTTTGTCCGAGTCTCGCTTTCCTTGCTCAGGTTGGAGTGCAGTAGCACAATCTCAACTCGCTGTAACCTCCGCTTCCTGGGTTCAAGCGATTTGCCTGCCTCAGCCTCCTGAGTAGCTGAGATTGCAGGTGCCTGCCACCGTGCCTGGCTAATTTTTGTACTTTTAGTAGAAACGGGGTTTTGCCATGTTGGCCAGGCTGATCTCAAACTCCTGACCTCAGGTGATCCAACCGCCTCAGCCTCCCAAAGTGCTGAAATTACAGGCATGAGCCACCGCGCCCAGCCAATTCACAGATTTTAAAGTGTGTATTTTGATAAACTTTGACAAATTCACACAAATATGTAACTAATATCCCAACCAAGAAGCACACTGCCATAACCCACCAACTTCCCTCATTCTCCTTTGCAAACAATCCCTACAATCTATAGACAAACATGGTTCTGATTTCCATCACTATAAAATAGTTTGGTACATTATTGAATTTCAAGTAAATGAAATTATCCAGTATGCATTTATTTATGCCAGGAATTTGGGTGATTTTTGTGAATCACTGATACATGCAACTAGCTAGATAAATCTCAAAAATCTCCCAAACTCCTGACATAAATGAATCTAGATAGATTTATCTAGATTTAGATAATCTAAATAAATAAATCCATGTGGATATGGATCTTCATGAATGCATACCGACACTGATTATTTATCACTTAGTAGCATTACATTATATGTATATACAATAATTTGTCCACCCTCTTTTTGGTATACATTTGGATTATTTCCAGTTGGAACTATTACTGAGTGCAATGAAAATGTTTTTACAAGTTTTATACAGACATTTAAAAATTTCCTTTGGATAAATACTATGAGTTGAAATCCTAGGTCACAGGGACAGTGTATGTTTAAGGAAATGCCAAACCATTCTTCAAGTTTGGGTCAGTTTACACTCTCACCATCAGTATAAGAGGAGTCTAATTGCTCTACACTTTTGCAAACATTCTGTGTTATCAGTGTTTTTAGAAGTGTGTTGTTTAATTTCTAAATATTGGAGGTTGTTCTAGATATTTTTCTGTTGATTTACAGTTTTACTTCATTGTGGACTTAGAACATCCTTGTGTTATTTCTGTCTTTCTGTCTGTAGTAAGGTTTGTTTTATAGCACACAACATTACCTATTTGATGAAGATTGAAAAGTATATATTCTGCTGTTGTTGGGTGCACCTTATGTAAATTAGGTCAAGTTAGTTGATAGTGTTGCTCAGTTCATCTATATTCCTACTAATGTACTGCCTGCTTTTTCTACCAATTACTAAAAGAGAAGTGTTGAAATCACCCAACTGTAAATGTTGATTTGCCTATTTTTCTTATCCTATCTATCAGTTTTGTCTCATGCATTTTGAAGCTCTCTGGTTAGCTGAATATACATTTAGTATTCTTATGTCTTCTTGAGAAACTGTCCTCTTTATTATTTTTTAAGTTTCTATTTTATACCTGATAATATTATTGTTGTGAAGTCTACTTTGTCTGAAATTGATACAGCTATTTAAGTTTCCTCATGATTAGTGTTTGAATGGTATATTGCTCCATCCTTTTAATTTTAACCTCTTTAAAGCTTTATATTTAATGTGAGTTTCTTGTGGAAACCATACAGCTGAGTCACACTTTTTTCCCCCTTTACTCCCAAAAAATTTAGTGCGTTTCCTAAGAATAGGATCCTCAGATCCAGGATTATACAAGCACTAAGTTGTTAGCCTTTTTAAGTTTCCTTTGACTTGTATTAGCAACTCAGTTTTCTTTTCTTTTCTTTCCCCTTCTTTGCTTTTTCCTCCCTCTGACACCCCCACTCCCCTTCCCTCTCCTCTCCCCCCTCCCCCCTTCCCTCCCTCCCTCCCTTCCTTCCTTCTCTTTCTTTCTCTTTCTCTTGCTTTTCAGGTGGCTTCCCCAGTTTTATTTCATATTTATTGAGGTATAATTGACAAAAATTTTATACATTTAAGGTGTATAAATTTGTTTGACATATACGAACATTGTGAAATAATCACAATAAACAAACTAATTAAAATTTTATCACTTCACATAGTTACCCTTTATTTATTTTATTATTATTATTATTTTGAGTTGGAGTCTTGCTCTGTTGCCAGGCTGAAGTGCAGTGGGGTGATCTCAGCTCCCTGCAACCTCTGCCCTCCAGGTAGCTGGGACTACAGGTGCGTGCCACCATGCCCGGCTGCTTTTTTTTTTTTTTTTTGCATTTTAATAGAGACAGGTTTTCACCATATTGGCCAGGATGGTCTCTATCTCCTGGCCTCATGATCCACCCGCCTTGGCCTCCCAAAGTTCTGTGATTACAGGTATGAGCCACTGCGCCCAGCCTTTTCTTTGTTTTTTATGAGAACACTTAAGATCTACCTTCTTAGCAAATTTCTAGTTTACAATAAAGTATTATTATCTATATTCACATTGTTGTACAACAGGTCTTCAGAACTTATTCATTTCATATAATGGAATCTTTGTACCCTTTGACCGACAAGTTTCCATTTCCACCACCTCTAAACCTTGCAACCACAATTTCAACCTTTATATCTATGAGTCTGAGTATTGTACATTTCACACATAAGTGAGATTGTATGTGAAATGTACAATATCTGTCAGAAATATACATTACTGTCTACCTAATTCACTTAACACAGTCTTTTAGGTTCATCTATGTTGTTGAAAACATCAAGATTTCCTTCTTTTTAAGGCTGAATAATGTTTGACTATGTATGTATACCACATATTTACTCCATTCATCCATTGGTAGACATTTAGGATGTTTCAATATCATGGCTATTGTGAATAATGTAATGAACGTGAGAGTGCAGACATTCTTCAAGATAGTGACTTCATTTTGTATGGATATACATGTGTATACACGAACACACACATATATGTGTGAGTTTATATATATATATATATCTCCATATGGAATTGCTGGATCATGTGGTATTTTGGTTTTCAATTTTTTGAGGAATCTTCATACAGTCTTCCAAAATGATTTTTTCACCAAAAGTGCAGAAGTGGTCCCTTTTCTCTATGTCCTTGCTAATACTTGTTATCTTATTTTGCTTTTGGTAATAGCCATCCTAACAAGTACAAGGTGATATCTCATTATGTTTTTGATTTGCATTTTTTCTCTGATGATTAGTGATGTTTAACACCTCTTATGTATTATTGGATGTTTGGTGTTTTCTTCTCATAAACATCTATTCAGATCCTTTGCCTATTTTTTAATAGGGCTTTTATTTTACTATTGAGCTGTATGAATTTCTTACATATTGTAGATATTAATCTCTTGCCTTATATAGATTTTTACAATATGTGTATAGAATCCCTTGTCTTATATAGAGTTTGTCAACATATCCTCCTAGTCAGTATGTTGCCTTTTCACTTTGTTGATTGTGTCCTTTGCTATGCAGAGGTTTTTTGTTTGATGTAATTTCATTTGTCTATTTTTGCCTGTGTTTTTGGAGTCATATCTAAAAAATCATTTTCCAGACCAATGTAAAAAACCTTTTCCTGGCCAGATACAGTAGCTTATGCTTGTAATCCCAGCACTTTGGAAGGCCAAGGCAGACCGGGTCACTTGAGGTCAGGAGTCAAAACCAGCCTGGCCAACATGGCAAAACCCTGTCTCTACTAAAAATACAAAAATTAGCCAGGTGTGGCGGTGGGTACCTGCAATCCCAGCTACTCTATTGGGAGGTTGAGGTAGAAGAACTACTTGAACCTGGGAGGTGGGGGTTGCAGTGAGCCAAGGTCATGCCACTTCACTCCAGCTTGAGCAAAAAGAATAAGACTCCATCAAAAAAGAAAAAAAAAAACAAAACCCTTTACCTCTAAGTTTTTCTTCTTACAGTTTTGTAGTTTCAGGTATTATATTTAAGTCTTAATTCATTTTGAATTATTTTTGTATCTTTATGTAAGATAGTTTCAATTTCATTCTCTACATGTGCATATCCAGTTTTCCCATCACCATTTATTGGAAAGGCTATTCTTTCTCTATTGTATGTTCTTGGCACCATTGCTGGGGACCTGTTGATACATGGATTTATTTCTGTAATTTCTATGCTGTTCCATTGTTCTATATGTCTGTTTTTATTTCAGTACCATACTGTGCTGCTTCCTATAACATTGTAATATGTTTTGAAGTCAGGAAGTATAGTGCCTCTAGCTTTGTTATTCTTGCTTGAGATTGCTTTAGCTATTCAGGGTCTTTTGTGGTTTTATTTGAATTTTGGATTTATTTTTCTATTTTTATAATGAATGCTATTAGAATTTTGATAGGGAATTGCATTGAATATGTAAATTGCTTTTGGTAGCATAGATATTTTAAAAATATTAATTATTCCTATCCATGAACACAGACAGATCTTTTTATTTATCTATGTCTTTTTAAATTTTGTTCATTAATACTTTATAATTTGTAGTGTATAACTCTTTTATCTCTTTGATTAAAGTTATTGCTGAGTATTAAATTTTTGGTTGATATCACAAAAGATATTGTTTTCTTTTTTTTATTTTTAATTTCAATAGGTTTTGGGGTAACTGGAGGTGTTTGGTTAGATGGATAAGGTTTTCAGTGGTGATTTCTGAGATTTTGGTGCACCCATCACCTGAGCAGTGCATGCTGTACCCAATGTGTAGTATTTTATCCCTTACCCCCTTCCCACCCTTTCCCCCAAGTCCTCAAAGTCCGTTATACCATTCTTATGTCTTTATGTCTTTCTAGCTTAGCTCCCACTTAAAAGTGAGAACATATGTTTCGTTTCCCAGTCCTGAGTTACTTCACATAGAGTAGTGGTTGCCAACTCCATCCAGGTGGCTGTAGATGCCATTATTTCATTTATTTATATGGCTGAGTAGTTTTCCCTGGTATATGTTTACCACATTTTCTTTACTTGCTGATTGATGGACATTTGGACTGGTTCCATATTTTTCCAATTGTGAATTGTGCTGCTATAAACATGTGTGTACAAGTGCCTTTTTCATGTAATGACTTCTTTCCCTCTGGCTAGATTCCCAGTGGTGAGATTGTTAGGTAAAATGGTAGATCTACTTTTAGTTCTTTAAGGAATCTCCATACTGTTTTCCATAGTGGTTATACTAGTTTACATTCCCACCAGCAGTGTAAAAGTGTTCTCTTTACACCACATCCATGCTAACATCTATTATTTTTTGAGTTTTTAAATATGGTCATTCTTGCAGGTGTAAGGTGGTATCATATTGTGGTTTTGATTTGCATTCCCATGATTATTAGTGATATTGAGCTTTTTTATTTTGTATGTTTGTTGGCCATATGTATATCTTCTGAGAATTGTGTATTCATGTTCTTAGCCCAATTTTTGATTGAATTGTTGTTTTATTTCTTTCTGAATTGAGTTCCTTGCAGATTCTGGATAAGTCTTTTGCCACATGAATAGTTTGGAAAGATTTTCACTCATACTGTGGTTTGTCTGTTTACCCTGCTGATTATTTCTTTTGCTGTGCAGCTTTTTAGTTTAATTAAGTCCCACCTACTTTTCTTTCTTTTTGTTGCACTTGCCTTCAGGTTCTTGGTCATGAACATTTTGTGTAAGCCAATGTCTAATTAGGGTTTTTCCAATGTTATCTTCTAGAATTTTTATGGTTTCAGGTCTTAGATTTAAGTCTTTGACAGATCTTGAGTTGATTTTTGTATAAGGTGGGAGAAGAGGACCTAGTTTCATTCTCCTACATGTGACTTGCCAATTATTCTAACACCATTTGTTGAATAGTATGTTCTTTCCCCACTTTATGTTTTTATTTGTGTTGTTGAAGATCAGTTGGCTGTATCTGGCTCTATTTCTGGGCTCTCTATCCTGTTCCATTGGTCTTTATCTATTTTTATATCAGTACCATGCTGTTTTGGTAACTATAGCCTTGTAGTATAGTTTGAAGTGGGGTAATGTGATGCCTTCAAAATTGTTCTGTTTGCTTAGTCTTTTGTTTTGGCTATGCAGGCTCTTTTTTGGTTCCAAATGAATTTTAGGATAGTTTTTGCTAGTTCTGTGAAGAATGATGGTGGTATTTTGATAGAAATTGCATTGAATTTATAGATTGCTTTTGGCAGAATGGTCATTTTCACAACATTGATTCTACCCATCTATGAGCAAGAGATGTGTTTTCATTTGTTTGTGTCATCTGTGATTTCTTTCAGCAGTGTTTTGTAGTTTTCCTCATAGAGGTCTTTCACCACACCTTGGTTAGGTATATTAACTTTTATTATTATTTTTTTTGCAGTTATTGTGAAATGGCTTGAGTTCTTGATTTGATTTTCAGCTTGGTAACTGCTGGTGTATAGCAGTGCCATAGATTTATGCATATTGATTTTATATCCAGAAACTTTACTGAATTCATTTATCAGATCTAAGAGGTTTTTGGGTGAGTGAACAGTAACAGTTTGGCTTCCTTTTTTTTTTTTTTTAATCAATTTTTATGCCCTTTACTTCTTTCTCTTGTCTGATTGCTTTGGCTAGGCCCTCCAGTACTATATTGAATAGAAGTAGTAGTGACAGTGGGCATCCTTGTTTGTTCCAGTTCTCAATGCCTTCAACTTTTCCCCATTCAACATAATGTTGGCTGTGGGTTTGTCATAGATGGCTTTTATTATCTTAAGTTATGCCTCTTTTATGCCAATTTTGCTGAAGGTTTTAATCATAAAAGGATGCCGGATTTTGTCAAGTGCTTTTTATGTATCTATTGAGATGATCATGTCATTTTTGTTTTTAATTCTGTTTCTGTGGTGTATCACATTTATTGACTCGTATATGTTAAACCATCTCTGCATCCTTGATGAAAGTCCCTTGATCTTGGTTTATTATTTTTTTGATATGCTGTTGGATTCAGTTACCTGCCACTTTGTTGAAGAATTTTGCATCTACGTTTGTCAGCAATATTTGTCTGTAGTTATTTTGTTGTTGTTGTTGTTATGTCCTTTCCTGATTTTGGTATTAAAGAGATATTGGCTCCATAGAATGATTTAGGGAGGATTCCCACACTCTCTGTTCTTAGGATAGTGTCAGTAGGATTGGTATGAGTCCTTTGAATGTCTGACAGAATTTAGCTGTGAATCTCTGGTCCTAGACTGTTTTTTGTTGGCAATTTTTTTTACATTTCAATCTTCCTGCTTGTTGCAAGAGTGGTCATCCTTGCATTGTACTGGATCTTAGTGGGAAAGTTTTCAGTTTTGCTTCTTTAATTATAATGTTATCTATGGGCTTTTCATATATAGCCTATAATGTGTTAAGGTAATTTCTTCTACACCTATTTTTTTGAGAATTTTAATAATCATGGATTAGTGTTAAATTTTGTGAAATGTGATTTTTTTCCTTTTCATTATGTTAATGTGATGTATCAGAATTATCAATCTGCATATATTGACTCATTCTTGCTTTTCAAGGATAAATCCTGCTTGGTTGTGGATTCTGATTTTTTATAGTGCTGTTGAACTTAGTTTGCTAGTATTTCATTGTGAATTTTGCATATATGTTCATCAAGAATGTTAGCTTGTAGTTTTATTTTCTTATGGTGACTTTTTCTGGTTTTGGTGCTAGGATAATACTGGTCTCATAACATGAGTTTGGTGATGTTTCTTGTTCCAGTTTTTGGAAGAGTATAAAATAATTGTTACTAGTTTTTCTGAGTGTTTGGTAGAATTCACCTATGAAATCATCCAGTCTTGGGCTTTTCTTTCTAGGGATGTTTTTGATCACTGATTCAAATTTCCCTAAATCTGGGAACTTTCCATACAACGTTTTTTAATATAAGCTTTCTGTCTCTCTATACTTCTCTTCTCCCTCTTGAATTCTTAGAATGCATATTTTAGTTCAGTTAATAATTTTCCATAAATGCCATAGGCTTTATTCACTCTTTTAAATTTTTTTTTCTTCTCTGACTGGATAATTTCAAATTATATCTTCTAATTTGAAGATTATTTTTTCTGCTTGATTGGTTGTTCTTGAGGTGCTCTATTGCATTTTTCATTTCATTCATTGTATTTTACTGCTCCAGAATATCTGTCCTTTTTAAATAATTTCTAATTTTTTATTAAATTTTTAATTTTATGCATGTACTGTTTCCTGATTGTATTGATTTGCCTATCTCTGTTCTCTTATAGCTACCTGAACTTCTCTAAAACAACTCTTTTGGAAATTTTGAACTCTTTGGAAATTTATACATCTTAATTTCTTTGGGGTTAGTTACTGGAAATTCATTGTGGTTTTTGTTTTCTGGTACTATTGTATTTTCTTGATTTTCATGTAGATTTGTGTTGATTTATGCACATATGAAGAAGCAGTCACCTCTTTCAGATTTATGGATTGGCTTCAGTGGGGAAAGGTCTTTTCCTACAGATAGGTATCACGGCACTGGAGCTAAAAGGAGTATAAAAGCTATGGGGTAGTGGAGGGAATGCGGTGACTCTGGCTCTTGGGGGGTGCAGTGGAGTGGCTAAGTCTTCTGCAAACCTTTTGCCCTTCTTTCATTCATAGGGGGAGATTGTGGCCAACAGGATTAATCTATGTGACAAATTGTGCTGGGCTGAGGAAGGTCTTATGCAGATAAAATGTTTCCTATTCTTCTCTATGCAGCCATTCTTAGTTTTTGTGCTCCACTGGGTGCTGCAGTTTCTTCATTGTAATCCAGCATTCTATCATCAGACGTATTTTTGTTGGGTGGTAGTTATTAAATTGTTTTGTGTAAGGGACATAAACTGGAACTTCCTATTCTGCCATCTTACTGTGGTAATTCCCCCAGGTCATGCTTTTCTAATCAATCTGAAAATCTTTCTCTTTTAAATTGTGTTTATACTATTCATATTTACAGTGATTACTGATAAGTTTTCATTAAAACATATCATCTTGATAGCTGTTTGTTATTAGCACCATTTGTTCTTTATTTTTAATGCTCTTTATTTTTTGCCTTTTCTGGGCTTGTACTTTTAAAAAAATAATTTCATTTTCTCTTTTCTACTGAGCTATTATTTATATTTTCCTAAAAAATAGTAGTTGTTCTTGGAGTTTGTGTTCGAAAAACATTATACCAGATTCATATGCTAATGACATGGGATATACCATTATATTCCTAATTCTTTCCTTTCATTCTTTATGGTACTGGTATCACATAGTTTTATATATACTATAAATACAAAATACATAATTATAATTTTTGCTGCAAACAATTACAATCAGAGTAATTAAAATCAAGAACCTCATAAATTAATTTACTTTTATTGATTATATTTCCAGTAATTTCTTAGGGTAAATCCAAATTTATTATATTACATTCCTCTGCCTAAATATTTTAAGAGTCCCCTTCTAAATTCAAGTTCCAGTAGCAGAATGACTAGCAACCCTGCTTTAACAGAAGGATTGTTGTATGTGAGTGTTCATGATGTGCCTTTCATTGGATACTTTTTTTTTTTAACCTGGTAGATAATCTAATAACACTTACTTGTCCAACTTTTGATGAGGGTTTCCTTCACACAGGAAACTTGCTTGTGGTTATCCTTGTGGCTCTTGTCTGACAAGCGTCTAGTTTACTTCTGCCTGACTATCATTCTGGCAGTGAGTCCAACCTTGTGTTCTCTCAGCCTGGG